ATTTAATAATTTTAAAATTACCATTTTAACAGTTAAATAATTTTTAGTTTCATATTCATCATCAAATTCTATTTTTTTTTAAAAATATTACTATCAAATAACTTTACAATTCTTATTGGGTTAGAATTTAATAAATATGATTCAAATTTATTTTGTTTAGGATTTTTACAAAATAAAAACTACTATCAAATATTTTTTTTTTCGAATTAGTTTACATAATCTTTTACAACTATAGTTTTTCTAGTATTAAAAAAAAATAAAATTACTGTCAAATAATGATTTATTAGATTTTGACCCGCGCAACCGCGCGGGTGTTTGTTTTCGTTTATAGTTAGTTATATAAACATTTTGTTTTCACTTGTGAATTGGTATATATTATAGTAATCACATATTTACAATATGTATAGTAAATGTTTTTCAACATAATAATATTATATAATACGTGTTTTAATCAAATAGATTGTTTCAAATTTTTTATATTATACATGTTTTTCAAACATGTGTGTTGTTTCTTCTTTTATATTTTATTGTTTGATAGATTAGTATTTCATTTTTAGATAAATTAATATAAATAAAGCTTAATTAAATATTAGTATACTTTAATTTGCAAAGATAATATGAACTTCGAAGAATTTTTTGCTAAAAACTAAACTTATAGCTTCATAAATTAATATTATAAAGAATTTTATCAAAAATAATTTTTTAAACAATTTCTTTTTTTTTTTAAACAATATAATTTTAAAAATTTACATCGAAATAAATTTATAAATTCATCCAGTATATATACCGTGTAGACTTTGTTAGGGTATATAAATATTCCATATTACGAAATATGTAATTTTTGAATATATTATGGATGCATTTAACTATTATTGACATATTTCCTTATAAATAATAGAAGATTCCTAAACTTATATCTATTGATATATTTTGCGTGACTAAGTTGGAAGATGTGGGATAATTTACCAAAACGTAATTGTTAAGCGTATATTTGTTACTATAGATATGATTTTTCATAAGATATAATAATGATAAAATTATTAGAGAGTTAATGTAACATGACTTTCTAGTAATAGTCTATTTTATAAAAAATCACACATGAAGTCAAGTCATGACTTATGTTTTAATATATAAGATACCTACAAATATTAATTATATATAATTTCTAAATACTAAATAACCTAAAATACTATTTTTAAACCAAATTAGGAAAATCTATGAATTAATATTTTTATCAAAATATTCAACCTATCTGATATTTAAATCGTAGGCAATTTTACATTTAAAATTACATAAAAATATATCATGTAAAATAAATAAACATATCTTATTTAAATCATTTTTTGACCAATTTCGTTTGAATCTCCAACTTATAATGTTTAGACCCATTTAATTTTTATATATCATAAAATTAATCATTTAGTTCTTGTATAAGAATGTAATATCAAAATTTAATAATTGCTTGCATATAATTAATTAAACCAAAGTGTCATAGTTATTGTATCATGAATGTTATTGTTAGAGAAATTTTTATAATAGATTATGGAAAGTAATAAATGAGTTTATTTAAATTGTAAAGTATTTATATAGTTAGAGAAATATAAGGAAAGAGAAAGACCAAAAAATGTTAATCTAATGAAAGGGTCCAAACAATTTTTTTAAGTAGATTTATTTAGACTCCTTCTCTTTTAATAGTATAGATAACTAATTTTAACTATTTTTCAACCATTTTGATTTTCGAAATTCGTTTTTTTCAATATCAGTAATGTTCTTACAGTTTTTCCTTTTTAATTAGATATTTTTAGTATCATATTTATTATTAAATCCTTAAAAATAAAAACTTAAAAAAGAAAATTAAATAAAATTTTACAATTATATTTGGTCAGGATATTGTTTACAAAATAAAAAAATATTAGTTAGGTTTTAAAAGAATAAAAGTATTTTTTCAAATCTGTTTTACTAAGATTTTAGAAAAAGAAATTTATTTTCACATAGTGGTAGGTTTTTATTGACACATTACACAATCTAAATTTTTTTATCATCACATGTCCAAACTTGGAATATGTATTGTCATGTGTTCCAATAATGTTAATTGAAAATTTGAAAGTGATTATGTGAAAATAATTTTATTTTTCTAAAATTCTAATAAAATATATTTGGAGAATTTTTTTTTTTTGTTTTTAAATCCTAACCAAAAGAGAATATATTTTCTATTTTTTTTTAAAATTATTAGCAAATAGAATTATAAACGTTTCTTTAATAGTATTTTTAATAATTTTATGAGAAACATGATATTAAAACCTAGTTAATTAAAAAGAAAAATTCTAAAAATAGTTGTGATATTAAAAAATTGAACTGCAAATATACTGACTTTAAAAAGTTAATATTAACAGTTAATAATTTTTTTATAGTAATTTTAGTTTTTCTAAAATGCTAAACCAAATATAACTGTAAAAGATTATATTCTAAACCCTAAAAAACAGAAAATGTATAAGAATAAAAATGTTTCCTTTTTTAAATCTCTTTTAAATCCCAAACATAAAAGATTTGTATTATATTTATTGACACATGTCACATTCTTGAATTTCTATTGACATAAGTCACTATTATATTAATTAGTATTTTTTGAAGAATCAAGTTTTATATAATAAGATTCATACTAAAATATGATATATTTCTTTTTAAATATCGTTTAAATATAGTTCTATACCATAAAATTTTATAAATATTTTCGTTATAAAATTTTAGAAAAAATGTATCTTAGTTGAATTGATAAAATTCAAATACTTTTATAATTTTAGGTTGACGAAGTTTGTAAAAAAAAAAAGGTTGACCAAGTCATATAAATATAGTTTACATATCTCTTACTCCCTCCATTTCTAAATAATTGTCATTCTAGAGAGAAAAATTCGTTTCAAAATAAGTGTCGTTTTAGAGTTTCGAGGCAAAATTTATTAGTTTTATATAATATTCTATTTTTCTATTTGTTGAAAAGTGCTTAGGTGTATAGGTAATTGTGTTTTTTATCTTGAAAATATGTAAAATTAAATGTTTCCTTAATCGTGTGTAAAACCTTAGAATGCCAATTAAAATGAAACTGAGGGAGTATATATTAAACGAGAAGCATTGTAATCAATGCGTTCATACCATAACTAACACATGTTGGCCTCACAATCATTTGACAATTAATACGTTCACACACTAATTTTTAAATTCATTATTTAATGTGTTTATATATTATTTTTAATTAATTCATTTTTCCTACATTTTTAGCCTTTGTATTAATAAATTAAAACTTTCTACGTGAAAGTACTGAATAATATATTTATTGTAAAAAAATTACAAATCATTAAGATTCGTATCAACTAAAATGTTGCGATGAAAATGTTTATAGAAATTAAAAGTTTCGTACCTCGCCGAAGTTGGTCATGGTTGAGACTTCGGTACACAATAACAACAAATACGGCGATTGATTATGAATTAAAGAAACTGAGGTGAAAAACACCACACGTAAAGTCGGATCTATAGTTTAGTGAAATATTAACATTTTTATAAAGTTTCATATCTGACCAAGAATTAGAAACAAAATCAAATTGGTAGAAAAAATCAGAAATAAAAAAAGCTTTAAAAATAAATAAAAATAAAAAAATCAATTAAAAACAGAATTCAGGTACCAAGTGAAAATATCAGTTTGTAATATATATTATTTTTATTGTTTACGGGTAAAATTTGATTTTATTCATATGAATTTTTTTTTATTAATTTATAGGTTTTTTTTATTTTTATTTAAGAATTTACTATCATGTGTAGGCAATCATGTGTTATTTTGAACAAAAATGTTTTAAATCTTAATTAACGGTATATTCATATATTTATCATCACATTTATATACTGTTACATATACATACATGTACACATTGACATGAGCGACTATATAACTAAATATTTACCACACGTGAGAATCTTCACTCTTGTTGAAGTTGATTTTTTTTTAATGTTTTCTTTCACTATCACTCAAATTGTACTGAACTGTCTTGTATAATTTTATTTTCTTCAAATATTATTTAGATTTTATTTGATTTTATATGTCTTTAGAAATTATAAAAGAAAACTATTAGTTCGACATAAAAAATGTCTAAAATTTATATAAAACGAAACCAAAAAAATAAAAAAAGTTTTTAGTTATCATCAAAAAAAATTAAAACATCAAAAAGTTTAAACCAAACAAACCAAAATAAATATAGATTTAGAATGGTAGTTATATTTTAAGACATTAAAAAAAACGTAAAATTAAACCAATATCCATGCTAAACAAACATATTATTATTTTTATCTTAAAAATAACAAAAATAATAATTTCATTCCGTGTAAGGCGTGGATTACCTACTCTTTTGTTATTACAGAGGCCACTACCTCATTGACTTCGGAAGATTTTAATATATTATTTAATAAATATTTTATAAAATATCACATTTCAGGTGTGTGAATTATTACCTAGTTGTTCTATGAAATGATTGCAAGCTTCCGGTAAGAAAATATTATTATATATAGGTAATAGGATCAAGACTGAATCTTATCCAACATGCATGAATACCATGCACATGAGCAAATACGCATCTAATTTATGGATTACTTGTCGTCTAGTAGTTTTTTTGTCGTCTAATTATTTTTTTGTCTTTTTGATTGAGACCAAAAGTTTAGTTCAGTATATCCAGTTTTGACACTAATATTATATTACTTTATAAATGAGATTAAATTAGTAATATAATCCGATGTTCAAAAAGAAAAAAAATTCCCAAACTCCTATACAAAAAGCTGGAATAAAAAACGCAATTATTGTATGGAAAAACAAATGTACACTTACAACACTTGAAAACTTGCTTATATAAAGACTTAAGGACCATTTGTTTCCCCCAACTCCTCAACAACACTCGCTGCACTTCTCATTTTTTTTAAACTCATAACAAGACAACAAAAACACAAAAACTCTCCCCTAAACGATGGCGATAATTTGCACAACACCAACGACATCTCCTGCAGAGAAAGAACAAGAACCAAAACAAGATCTTGAAAACGACCCATATCATCCCTTAATCTTCAACCCTTCTCTTCTTAACCTCCAGTCTCAAATACCAAACCAATTCATTTGGCCAGACAAAGAGAAACCTTCCATTGACATTCCCGAGCTCAACATCCCTTTCATCGATCTTTCAAGCCAAGACACAACTTTAGAGGTTTCTAGACTCATCGCAGAAGGTTGCACCAAACACGGTTTCTTCCTCGTCGTGAATCATGGAGTCAGCGAGTCACTCATATCCGACGCTCACCGTTTCATGGAATGTTTCTTCGACATGTCTCTTGTTGGAAAACAGAGAGCCCAGAGAAAACCTGGTGAAAGCTGGGGCTACGCCAGTAGCTTCACCGGAAGATTCTCCACTAAGCTCCCATGGAAGGAGACTCTCTCTTTCCCGTTTTCCAACGAAATAAGTGGATCAAGAACCGTTCAAGATTACTTCTCCGGTACATTAGGACACGAGTTTAAGCAGTTTGGGTACGTGTCCTAAACCAGAACAAAGAAATACAAAACAGAGCAATAAACACAAAGAAGTAATATACACACATATGTGCCTCTATTTTCTAGCCTTACTCGAGTAAACCGGTTACTTATAACAAAATTATTAAACCGGAAATAAATTTGACCGGTTTTGTTATTGTTTTCCCCGGTTAATATTTACAGGAAAGTGTATCAAGACTACTGTGAAGCAATGAGCTCCCTGTCACTCAAGATCATGGAGCTTCTTGGGCTTAGTTTAGGCATAAACAACGATTATTTCAGGGAATTTTTTGAAGAGAATGATTCGATAATGAGGCTAAATCATTACCCTCCATGCCAAACACCTGATCTCACATTAGGTACAGGACCACATTGTGATCCAAGCTCTTTGACTATTCTTCACCAAGACCAAGTCAATGGACTTCAAGTCTTTGTTGACAATCAATGGCAATCCATTCTCCCCAATCCCAAGGCTCTCGTCGTCAATATTGGTGACACTTTCATGGTATAATTAATCACATCTTAAATGTAAATACATTTTGGTCACTCTTAGAAAAATAGTTTTGATAAGTTTTGGTTATGTAGGCCCTATCAAATGGGATATTCAAAAGTTGTTTGCATAGAGCGGTTGTGAATAAAGAGAGCCCGAGGACATCAATGGCTTTTTTCTTGTGTCCGAAGAGAGACAAAGTTGTGAAGCCACCAAGTGAGATTTTGGACAAGACGACACCAAGAAGATACCCTGATTTTACCTGGCCTATGTTCCTAGAGTTTACTCAAAAGCATTACCGAGCAGATGTCAATACTCTCGAGTCCTTTTCAAACTGGATCATTACCAACAAATTTACCGTCTAAGAAACCAAGTTACCATCGAGATGATTAGTGTTTTAATTAGTTACAATATATGTCTCCTTTGTTCTCATGGTGAAATACATTCCCGTGGGTTTCCTTTTTTTTTTTTAAACAATTCCCTTGGGTTTCAAAGTTAAACCGTGTGTACCAAGAGTTACCGTGTAGAAATGTGGAATAGCAATGCTTGTTAAATTAAACACCTAAACATACAATACTAGGTCTAACGATCAGTAAAACATAACAGAAAAAAACTCAATCGGAAAAGGTCTTTAATATGTTTAATTCTATTTGAAATTTGGGCCGAGGACGAGAACTCTTGCAACTAAAAACCATGTTCCAGATGTAACTCGAATATCAAATCAAGGTATGAACAGAATGGATAACAAAAATAATTAATATATTATCACACGTGTCTTTGCATCCTGCCCGGAACTAATTTTGGTAAAATCCGGGGCAAGGTACGGGTCACAAGTGGAGATCAATGACAATCACGACACTCCACCTCACGAAACATTTCTAAGTGGAAGTCTGGCTTTTACGGGTTTTTTCGTTACGACATGCTCAAACATGTTTTATGTACCCTCTAAGCCGACGCCCGAACGATATAACATACTCATACAAATATATTCAACATAATATCAATATATAACTAACATATTATACCCTCCGAACCAAGGTACGAACAATATAACCCAATATCTTTTACAAGTATCAATCATTATCATATCATTGTTTTGCAGGCGCTAACCACACACAAACAACAATCATAACCCATAACCAAGACTCACCTCAACACTTAGGTGAACGTTTCAAACTGCACACACTTCTATCTCACGGCCGGCTTAGTTTAAAACTTCTATAGAAAATCTCTAGAATTTTAGAAATCTAAACATAGGAAGGCTCGGGAAAGAAAGGCCATCTAAGTTCTAACTAAAGAAGAAAATAAAACTAAAAATAAAACCGAATTAAAAAGGAAAGCAAAAACAAGAAATTTAGCTTAAGGCTCAAAACTCGTTGGGGCTTCTACGGTCGGATTTTTGGTATGGGAATCAACTAAGGAGAGCTGTGCTGTTTATAGGCTGGAGAATGAGATTATGGGAGGTTCCTGGTCGTACATGGCAAGCAGGAGGTGTTTATGCCTCCCAAACTAACCAATAGGGGGAAGCTTGGTATTACATCCACAATTTTGGCCAATAAAACCAAGCTTTGTGGCCAGCAACCAAAGCATCCAATAGGAACGAGACAAGAGCTGCTTAGAGATGGTCTAGTAAAGGAGTGACATATGTTCAGCTGCTTGAGGAGACAAGTAAGAAGCTGAATCCTCCAGAAGCTTCTGGACACGTTTAACACGATGGACCGTGTTCAATCTGAAACGTGTTGTAAGCTGATCCGGACTGTCGAAAATGTTTCTCCTTAACCACAAACTTTAACCTTCGGACCCAAAACTTTTCTAAACGAAGTCTAGGTCATTTATATTTTCTAAATAAAGTTTCAGTTAATTTTCTCGTCCAACTAGGACATTCTAGGCTGAACTGCGAGCATTTTCAAGACACTTAGTTTCCTAAAGAATTTATTTCTACAGCTCAAAAATCATTCTAAGACTTTCTAATATTTTTCTATGTACCTTGAGATCCAAAGCCATCCATTGAAACATCTCAATCCAACTTTCCGCTTGCTTGAGTGATTTTCTCGGCTGTTACATGATATTTTTCATATCTGTGTTTTACTCTTTAATCGTGGGTTATTACACATAGTGCCGATCGATGCTAGCTGTCTGTCTAGAATCCACAGACTCTATGGGAGTTATTGATCAGTTCTCTTCTGATGGTGTTGATCGACCCTAGTACTACCAAACGACATAGAAATTTTGACTTGAAAGTCGCCTTCTTGGAGCTTCTCATACTTCATCACTTGTCAGAAACCATCATCTAAGGTGGCACTCATGTGGTAGTTCTGTCCACCCTCACATTTTTATTTTATTAGAACTTCATGTCTTCTCACTGCATCACTTATCTGGACTACTTGAGTTTCCAGCTCTTAACATGGGTATTTAGAGCCTCAAACTTGTTGTTTAGATCAGTGTACACAACATCCATCTTCCCATTGAAATCCATTGTCGTATTCTACTTCCCTTTAAGAACCTGATCAGTCATTAATTCCAGTTTTCTTTCCTGAGTTGCTGGAGCATGGGTCTGGTAAGAAGAAGTTGCTGGAGCATGGGTCAGGTAAGAAGAAGCTCCATAATTCTTGGTGAAACTGTGTTGTTGTTTGAATGGTTTCTGGTATTGGGAGCTTTGCTTTTTGTGGAAACTACTTTTTTGGCAAGTTTCATTGAAGTTTATGTTGCCACTCTAATTACCAAACCTCTGAAAACCAGTACAACTGATGTTGTACATCCTCCTTGCCACCTTTGTCGTCTGGGGCTTCTACAGCCTCCACATCTTCTGCAAAGAAGATTTGTTTCGTTAGAAGTTTATGAACATTATCCAGCTTTTCCTTAATCTCAGTCATCTGCTCCTTATCCAAGCTATCCGCTGATTTCTTCCTCTCAGTGAGAAGTTTAGAATCAGTGTTCATGGTGCTATTGCTAGATGCCAAGTTTTCGATAAATTTCACAGCTTCTTTTAGATTCCTAGTATTGAAATTTCTGTCACTAGCTGTGTCTAGAGCCATCTGATATACCCGTGCGAGACCTCTGAAGAAGGTACCAAGAATTTGCACCTCGTTGAAACCATGGTGTGGACAGTCTCACTGATATGACCTGGATCGGATACATGAGCTCTTGAAAGACTTTATAGGACCTTGAGTAAATATGGAGATAATGTCCTCAAGTCCTCAGATCTAGCATCATCGAAGAAATTATGCAGGAAACCGTTCTTGATGGCTATCCATGGTGTAAGAGATCCTGGTGGTAACTGCTTAAGACAATGAGAAGAGTCTCCAGCAAGTGAGTATTTGAAGAGCTTGCAAAGAAGATAGCCATAAGGGACTCCATTTTATTTTATAGCAGATACTATATCCTCTAACTGCTCTAGATGGTCCATAGGATGCTAAAGTGAAAGGTTATGATAAGGCTGTTGTCCCACGAGTGTAAAGTATGATGGCTTCAGCTCGAAATCGTTCCTCTAGAAAGAAGGAGGTCAAATAGAAGATCTGTTGACGTAGTACTGATCTGGACGGTTGTAGTCAGCCAACATTTTGGTTCGAACTTCCTCAGCATTTTCAGCAGCTGCAGCCTCAGCAACGGCTGCAGTGTTCTTAGTATTCACAGCTTCTTCTTCTGATTGTCAATCTTCTATCCGGCTGAATTACGCAGATGAACCTAAGGGCCATGCATGCTTCCATTCTAGTCCTGAATCAACACAAGAGCCACAACCATCATTCTCGTCTGCAGGTTGTTTTCGCTCGATGCTTCAGTAGTGTCCATCATTGCTAGCTCACAGAAAGTGTCAATCGACGAAGAAAAGGTGTCGATCGATGCTGATATGAAAGAGTCTTTTGATATACTATCCAAACTCTAAGAATAATAACATCTTCTAAGACAGTATAAACAAGTGTGTATGCCTACACAACGGCTGCAAAACTCTATATGTATATTTCTAAAAGCTGACCAGAGGAAATCTTGTAATTTGTGGGAAACTTCTAGGCCAGGCCCGGCTCTTGAATTAGAGTCGGATTGTGTACTCACGTCAGTGTCGAGTGACACTCAGAAGAGTGTCGATCAAAACTCCTTCTAAATTTCGACTCTGACTTCTGCACAACTACGTCATCTTTTAGCTCAAAATGACTCCATGATCTCCACATTACTCCAAAATGTGTTTAGTCCTGAAAAGACTCTAAAATATACCCGAAACATAATATAAAGATCTTAAATAAGACTTATACTATAGATAAAAATCAGTAAAATTCATAGTATATCAGTTGGTAACACATACATATAGGCACTATGTTTAACATATATGTTTAATGTTTTATTCTCCCTTTTCATTTTAACTTCTAGTGCATCGATATCCCCATTGGTACCGGTTTAGTGCTAACAACTGATGAATTCACAAATATCGCAGAATGAATTAATCACATGGAGCGTAAGGTATGTACCTCATGATCTGATCATACTCAGACACTTTTTTAAGATGTATCATATCTAACAGTTGAAATGAAGGTAACAAGTAAGTATAGGGGGTTGCTACAGGTTATGGATGCTCTGATTATTTTCTGGCGGATTTAATCAGAAGAGGTATCTTTAAAATACCATATGCAATCCAAATCCTAGACACCAAACTCCATGTGGCTCATATGAAGTATCACACTAGGTTGTAAAAAAAATTATTTGAAAGATAAAGAAAATGTCAAGTTTCATGATTTTCTCTCCGAGTATTTCAGATATGAATCGTCTGAACCCATGTTGTTGGAGAAGGTCTACTTCCCTTTTAACGTCGATAAACACCACTGGGTGGGTGTATGTGTTGATATTAAAGGTTATGATGTCCATGTTTCTATTGCAACGTATCTCTCAGAAGCCCAAGCCTAATGAAGAAAGAACTTAACCCTATAACCATTCTTATGTCACATTTCGTTAAATCGTTGCATGGGACTGATTATGTTGTATCAGCCAAGATTTTTAATGTCTCCAAAGTTAAGGGCATCCCTAAAATTGCCTTCCAAACGGATTCTGATGTAATGTTGTCCTTAAGGGGGAGGGGGTTACTGATGTAAGGTAATCACCATTTGTGTTTTTTCCAGAATCCGCAAAATCGGTGGCCTAATGTTTGACAAAGCTATTTAAAAACTACATAAATTTTTTTATATTTTTCTCTCAGCCTTTTCTAAGATCCCATGTAACCCAACTTATTTTCGAATCATCTGGAGTACCTATGTCATTGGATTTAATTTTAATCATACGCATTTCGTCTACAATTTAATTGTTTGTTACTTCATAATGTTTGATTTGTATGCAACAATCAATTTAACACCTTATGTTTCTATTATCTGATACTATGCAT